CTTCGTTTTGCGACATCAGATTCCGAACGTATTCGAACAAAACAACATCGAAAAATATTGCGTATGTTAATAATCATGATATTATTATTCTCATTATCTTGGTTACCTTATCATATTCTCAGTCTTACTATCGAATGACAATCATTGTTTTTACATGGGTTGTCAATTTCCTTTTAAGTGGCTCCAGAACTACTATTGGTGAGCGGGGACAGTTGTAACAACGAATAATATACATTATTTTAACTAGCTCTTTATCTGAATATGACCATATGTTAAAACACTAGAGCAAAATGAATCAAAGAAATAAGAACAGAAGCAAATGTATTTGTAATATATATTAAGAATATCAGTCCGTGGTAGTACATTTCTCGTTTTATAGTACGCAGAAAAAAACACAATCCGTACAATTAGCTTTAAAAACCATTAAGCAGTAGTTGTTCGTTTATGTTCTTCCTTCCGCTATTACATATTTGCACGTCTTTTTCAACAATGTAGTCATTAAATTAATATGCAAGGAACATAAAGCAATCGACACTAAATCAGATGAGCATACACTATTCAAAAATTATTTTTTTTACTGAAATATCAACTAGTAATGGTGATCAACTACAGTATGTCTTATGTTGTAATCTTCATAGCATTATACTGTCTAGTTATTCTACTATAATATTTCATCGAAGGTTATTTATCACAAAACTACGTGTATGTTTAATAATGCATGAGTGGCCGACTGGTGATGATATTAGAATCATAACAACATGAAGAGTGATCTATTTAAATTAGACCATATTGAATAACAATATAAACACTTGTAAAGAATACCTGTTTCTAGTACAAACGGTGTAAAACAGTATGAATAAAAATTTACGTGATATCCAACGCAGAAAAAGAAAACAAGAAATACGAGGAAGTAGAGGCTAAATTTGAACAATGGAGTTATTGGGAAACTCACTGTCTGTCGAAGCAGGATCAGTGTTATACCTCGCGCTTTTGTTTTAACTAAAAAGGCGAAGAAGTAGAAAACAAATTTTGAACGGTAGAAGTAAGGAGTTTAATATTATAAATTATTTTTTAATCTCAGAATGTTCGCTAATGAAGCATTCTGCATCTCATATGATTATTTCAAGTGGTGTAGGGCAGAGTTGTAACCGGTCCGGTCTGGCCGGACCGGTTGAGAGAGTTGAACCGGCCGGTTTTTACCGGTTTCACAAAGTTGTGCATATTCGTTCATTTTTCATCAGAAAGATACTATGTATGGGTGCTTAGTAGTTTTTTTAAAGGAAAGAGAGAGTGACAATTTTATTTGAAATGTAAATTTTTTCTTTTTATTCTTTCAATTTGTTTTCAAAGACAAAGTCATATTATTTATTGTTTAAAATATCTTAGCAGTCGGAACATTGCCACGTATTGGGCGTTTATATGCTTTATCTCTATTCTTTAATGTTAATCTAATTTTTTACTTTCGATATGCCGATACCGTAGCTTCCTAACCCAAATTTGTCTTAAATGGCTTTGTTATTTGACATAGCGAATCTCTTCCCAAATTATTCGTGACGTTTCGTTTTGTGGGAAAGGAACCTTATCTCATGCAGAAGAAACTCAATCTTGAAAACATTGGTTGACTTTTTGGTATTAGAATTCCAGTATAAGCATTACAGAAAAGACAGGCGTAAAAATCTGTAGGTATTCAGAACAAAATTTTGTCCCTAATATCAATGTTATTACTTGAAAAAACTGGATGAACTCGCCGGTTTTTAACGGTCTGGAAATATTTTTAGACCGGCCGGACCGGACCGGTCTAGTATTTCCAGACCGGTTACAACTCTGGTGTAGGAAGGATAAGTAATATTTATGCTGTAAAAAGTATGCTAATGGGTGAGAAACAAACGTCTAATAGGACCCTCAAAAAATGGCTTATAAGGGTATAAACTTTACTAGAATCATTGGAGGAAAGCAAACGGAAAACCTAATCGAAAGGGTAATCCTCTCCCCCTCCCCAATAATTGAAATCTGTTCTTCTTTCACAAAATTCACATTTTACTCCGCTATTATTTTTTCGTTCCTATAAGTTACACTGATCACAACAAAACACTTATCCCCTCCACCCAATTTTAGAAGCCTCGCGCAAGCCCTGACTGAAGGTTCAGTTAAAGTTAAGTGAGGGAAAGGAGGGCGGTCACAAAAGCAATGTCGACTTTTGAACAATCATCCCAGATACTCTGTCGATCTGCGTTTGTGATGCAACTGAACATCGTAGATGAAAAAGCTTAAAACAGATAATAATTTTTCGTTACTATTCTCTTTTGTAACAAAGATTGACAATCCATGATAAGACTGAGAATATGATAAGGTAACCAAGATAATGAGAATAATAATATCATGATTATTAACATACGCAATATTTTTCGATGTTGTTTTGTTCGAATACGTTCGGAATCTGATGTCGCAAAACGAAGTTGTACTGTTGAACAATTTTTTTGATTAAAACTCGTTGAACCGATGGTCGTTGAAGCTGATGTTAGCGAGCGTCGATATGATTTTCTTCTGATTGCAGAAGTTACTTGTACACTTTCACTACGATAATAAGATTTTCGATAGGACTGTCCAACGTTAATATAGAAGCCTATCCATGAATGTGCCGCTAATATTGTCAACGATGGTATAACATAGATAAAGATGAAGATTATTATGGTATAAACTAATTTGGAAAGTGACGATGACCATTGTTCAAAACAAATATTAATACCCATTCCAGTATTAGAAAAAATTGATCGGGTAATATTTGATGAGAATGCTGTGGATTAACGTATTATCTATTTACATTCAAGCATATAACTCATATAATGTGATGATTAATTACAAGAAAAACTACTGTGTGGTGGTAAGTGTTGACGATGTGAGCTTATAAAAAATAAAAACAAAACAACTAAATACAAAAACCACAAAGGTTATATTTGTAGAGTAGACTTACACAAGAAGTTTTGTAGAGGATGAATCAACGGTCAAAGGCAACGCTCAGAAGGGGCTTAAAGCCTATACATGTTTAAATAAGGCAACAATCGAGTAAAACCTCTTTGAGTTAGATACCTAAAAGAGAACTAAGCTTTCCAGAGAAGGTGGTAGCAATTGGATCGTAGTAAACATTTTCATTGATAATCGGTAGAGTTTTTATTAAGAACAATAAAACTAAATCAGCAGTTCGAATCATTTTAAATTTCCTACGTTTTGAGTTATTAAAAAATCAATGTCAACGATATACAAATATACAAATACAAAAGAATTTCTTTTAAACCGAATGGCGTCAATCGTGTATTTATATTTATACTATTGTCCGCTGACTATTCAACTAATTTTCTCTCTACTATCTAACCTTTCTTTTCTAGAAGAAAATGAAACGAGAAGGATTGTGGTGTGTGGTTGTAGTCGTCTGTATGCATCTGGCCTTCGACTGTCCTTACTCTTTTGTATTCTTTCTTTCTTTTCTTCTACGTATTCCTTCACGAAAAACAATCATCGAAACATAGTGAGTTGTACAGTCCAACTGTAGTTCTAACATTTCGAACATCAAACTCTCCTTTATTAGCAGATAATAGGAGTTTTTGTCACTATCAATGATTTCAAAATTTTCCCAGTCGATTTTATGGCCAGTCTCAATGTCATGTTTTGCTAGAGATTATGTTATCTTGACATCGTCATCTTTAGCGATAACATTGTTGGACGATGAAATTAATTCTAAAACAGAACCCTGTGTCTCACTCATTTTCAATTGCTTTTCTCGCAAGCGAGGAGATCGAAGTGGAATTGAGTATGGTTTTGTACTTTTATCTTTCTTTTTTCGTCTTAATGAACCGATCGAGTTACGTGCTTCTTCTGTGTCATCAGTCTCGACATCAGAAACTTTATCATTCATCCACTGAAGTCCTAGCTTATTAAAAAAGTTCTTTAGGAGCGCCATGTTTCTGAAGCCTTCTGAGACATTGTCGTTCTGTACGTAACTGTCGTTTACAGTTATCAGTTTGCTTTATAGACAACGTCTGATTGAAGATGCTTCGGTATTTTGTCGTCAAACAGACTTGATAAGAAGTCCTCAGGTCCAAGTCCGTTAGAAAAATCTTCAGATCCGGACTTGGACTTGCCAATCTCTGCTTGAGGGCAAGATGTCAAACTTACTTGATGTTCTCCACCCGCTGATGAGAAGCTTTAGGCCCTGGAGTGAAGGTTCTTGCGCATCAAGCCCAATATAAGAACTCCTTCGAGCGAGATGTTATCGTAATTCCTCTGACTTGGTGATCAGATACTCGATCAGATGAAGTCTCAGTCGGGATAAAATAATCCTATCGCTATTCATCATACAGAAATATGCTAGTTGGTATTTTGGAATACACACAATAATCAACCGTTCGCAACAAATACATCGATACCTTCGTTTGAATAGGCATACATTGACAGAGCTTGAAGTGAGAACAAAAGTGTTTAATAATCTTAATATATATCATCAATCAAAGCAGAGACGGCTATTGCCTGATGTGTTAAGTTATGTAAAATAGTACGTGCTTAAAGTTCAAGAAACATATCAAAGAAAATAAGGGAAGCCATGGTGAATATTTTCACTGGTAATTTGATTGGAAACAAAATTGAGAACAGTATTATTCAATATGCCTGAGAAAAAGAATGTGAAACTATCGTATAACAGAATGACGATGTATGTATATATTCTTTTCTGTACTATACTTGACTAGATGTTTTTTTTTCTTTCAATGCACACCATAGACAGAGATATAAAGCAAGAAATGGAGAAAAGAACAAATTTTATCGTTTTACCCAAAAGAAAGATTCCCTTTACTATGAAATTAGTGTTTATTCTGGCAACTTCTCAGATTAAAAAGTTAACAAATCTGACGGTACCCTTCCTCAGCTTTTCTGGCAGTTTGTAGTACACAACTCGTACTCCATACTACGCTATTTTTTAGAAAAAGTTCTCTTTAATTTTTTGGCATATAGAGATCTCAATATTGCAGAATAAAGTTAGTGAAATGTATGTTAAAATCACTATTAAATTGAAACGGATCCATTTTACTAACTTTTATCTATGATACTGATAGCTCTATTTCTTAAAAACTAAAAGAAACCTGTTTCTGAAAAATATGGCAAATATATCACACTTTGTGTATTTTAAATTAATGTAAGAAGTGAAACGGATTCCTCTTTAAATATTCCAGTTTTGATTAGCCAATTGAGCAGAATGTAGAATTACTTTGGAGCTGTGCGATAATTCAGTCTTTTTCTTACTGTGTTCGTTAAGGAGAAAACGTTTTATGTGCTCATATACGAAAAAAGAATCTGAATTAAGAATTGTATTGACGAAGAGAATAAAAAATAATGATTATTTTCCTCTGAGAATTATTTATAGCTAAATAGATAATAATGTATACACATGATGTAAGATATACAAATTACAAAATATTATATACAGAATATGTACACAATGTGTAATTTGTTAATTTAGACGGAAATGAGCATTTACGTCTTGTTTGAATAAATGAAACTTTAAGAGACCTATAACTCGGAACATTGATATATTTTTCAGAAACAGGTTTCTTTTAGTTTTTAAGAAATAGAGCTATCAGTATCATAGATAAAAGTTAGTAAAATGGATCCGTTTCAATTTAATAGTG